CTGCAAAAAAGTTTTAAAAGTTGGTAAAAGTGATGAAATAGTTTAATAAAGCAAATAAAAGTAATTAGATTATATATATGCATATATATGATCTAAGTACTTTTTTATGCACATACACAAAAAATTATTCTAAGTGTATTTTAATATTAATATATATATAATTACATATATATTAAAATACACTTAGAATGAAGTTAGTTTTATATATATATATATATATATATATATATAAATATATAGATATATATATATAAATAAAATAGAAATAATTAATAAATACATTTACATTTTTTTAAAAAAGATAAAAAAATATATATTCTAAATGTATTTTGATTTAAATATATATGTATATTAATATTAATATACAGTTCGGAAAAAAATAGAGGTATATTTTTTTATCTTTTTAAAAAAATATACCTCTAATTTTTTCCGAACTGTATATTAATATTAATATACATATATATTTAAATCAAAATACATTTAGAATGACGTTATAGATACAAATATGCATTTATATCTATATGTATATATATATATGTGTATATATATATATATATAGCTATACATAATTTAAACGTGTATATATATAAAATTTAATTCAAAATGTTTATGTATATAATATTTTTACATAATTAAGTCATATAATTAATTACAATTTGAGGGACTTGCCTGACAACCCAGGCAGAAAGCCTAGAGAATTTGGTTTGCAAACCCTGTATTTAACCCTCTAACTTTCCAAGACTATAAAACCTGTACATGGGGGTTACTGATTTACTTGGGAGACTTCGCTGAACACAAATATTAGTGTTTTAAAACAGTAAAACATATCACAATGACGATATAGTCAGTGAAAGTGCTATTTTTTGCATTTTTCATACACAAACAGCACTTTCACTGATGATATAGTTCTTATGATACATTTTACTGTTTTGAAACACTGATATTTGTATTTAGCAAAGTCTGCCAAGTATAACAGTATCCCCTCCCCCCCCGCCCTGTACCCTGTACAGGTTTATGGTGTTTTCAGAAGTTACAGGGTCAAATATAAGCCTTGCATTTCCATGTTTTCACATTGACATTTGCTTATTGGTTATTATTATTATTATTGCCATTTATATAGTGCCAACAGATTCTGTAGCGCTTTACAATATTATGAGAGGAGTAATTTAACTATAAATAGGACAATTACAAAAAACTTACAGGAACAATAGGTTGGAGAGGACCCTGCTCAAACGAGCTTACATTCTATAGGAGGTGGGGTGTAAAACACAATGGGACATATTGGTTATGTTGCCTTTGAGACCGTATGGTAACCCAGGAATGTAAATTACCCCCATGATGGCATACCAATTGCAAAAGTAGACAACTCAAGGTATTATAAATGGAGTATGTTAAGTCTTTTTTAGTAGTCACTTAGTCACAAATAAATCACTGGAAATAAAATCATTGGAAATCTGCAGTTGCAGTATTGGTTATGCCTGTAAATTGCTATTGCAATGCAGTACATGCATTGGGAAGTGAAAAAAGGTATTGCTTCACTTTAAGTACATTTTCATTTTACATACATGCTCTGGTCCCATTGTGTACTTAAAAGTGGGATATGCCTGTATTCCTACAGCAATAGCGATCTGGAAAATTACAGTATACGTCCAATGTGATTGGAATTTGGTAAAAAGAATGATGCAACATTTAAAAGGAACACTCCAAATAAATTTAATTGCATATACTGAATGAGCAGAAGACACTACTGATTGTAAATTACTTAATCTTTCAATTTGGTAAAGGATCCATCGGCTGATCAAGGTAATAGAAAGCTTTTGATTCACTTTGCTCTGCGATAGTGCAATACACAATATCAACTGAATCTAGTCAAAAAAGAATGATATACCAGCTGATTTTATACACAGGACTGAATATAACTAATAACATCATTTTTTTACAAATATATTTTTATTAAAGAGAATATCGAGAGTATCATAGTCACATGAAAAATACATTTGTCAATTCTTAAAAACAAATAAAGATGTATAAAGTTGGTACAGATTGAGAGCATCATTTGCAAGATCAAACACATTGATGTGACCTATCTTCTATTTTGGGACCTACAAGAGCAAGAAGTAATTGTTATTTAGTAAAGTTGAATAAAAGTTGCAGATACTTACCAAGCCATTGCCCAGATGGCTTAATACTGGCATGTACAGAGGAACCTTAGCTTTACATGATTCCTCAATACTCCACTTAGATAAATGTCATTAATATTTATTCAGCTATCAAACATCAACATGGTAATGATTCAGCACCCTATGGTGCCATCGTCAATTTAAATGATTTAAAAGTTAAATCACTTTGTTAATGCAGCCTTAGCTAAATCTCCCCTGGCTGTGATTCACAAAGCCTCTATGAAAACAGATATTATTTTCAAACATCTTACAGCACAGTGTATTTACTCTAGAAGTTCTTATCTCCTGCTCTGTTAATTGAATTACACACAGGAGGCTGCTGCAGACTCTTGTAGTTAATTAATAACACAGGAGATAAGAACTGCTAAATGAAATACCATTGCACTAAGGGAATTTTAAAAAGTAGGTTTCTTTTTCAAGAAATGTGACTGCATAAACAAAATGATTTGACTCCTAAATGGCAGAGAATTGAGCAGTGCAGTGAGACTGCAGGGCATGATCGATACAATAAACCACTTAATTAGGCCAAATTTGATTTGGTGCTTAGAGTGTTCATTTTATCCCATTAAGGACTTAAGGTATACCAGTATAGCATTTGTTAAAATACAAGGTAGTTAGCAGGAATTGTGAAATGAGCTAAGTCCTCCAAATATAACCAACACTTTTTAATATGAAGGGAACTAGATAAGTTAATTTGCAAACAGTCTGCAAGAAAAAATAAAAAAGTAAAAAAATAAATAAAAGCCCAGGTACATTACGGGAAACTTTAAGACACAAAAAAGCAGCAGCAGTGTGAAAGCCCTCAAATGTACCTGTTTTCATTCTTTTCTAATCATTTAAACTGAGGCATACACTTATCGTTTTCAATGTCTGATGTATTAATCATTAAGTATTATTTTGTAGCTTTCAATATATCAAGTGGACACGTTTCTTTTTTTATTTAGCAAAAGTGGAATAGAGCAGTAGAAGAAAAGATGGAATTACTTGACTAAATAAGTTGCTTTCCTGAAAACCTTTCAAAAACACTGATGAGTTTTATTCACTTAACACCTGATTGTAGTGAATGGTAAGTTGAGTTCAGCATGTAAACAAAAATGTGCTGATTAAAAAAAAAGAATCCATTCAGTAATGGACTCAGCAGCTATTTTGCATGCAGTTTAAATAATTCACTACATTATGCTGTTTAGTGAATATGCTACTACTGATATTCAAAGTCTAAAGCAGTCCAGTCTACTTGTTCCTCATCACAATCTTCTTGTTCTGACACAACATAATTTCCATTACAAATATTGGGACCCCTGGATATTGACATTACTATTTGCAAAATTCTGAATTTTCACAAATTAAATCTCTATGGAAATACAGAAGCAAAATACATGATCTTGAATAATTCTCTGCTATACTCACATGTCTTTAGTGCCTCTGTTTTGCCTTATGGATTTATTTTGCTAAAGAGTTTTGGTATTACCCTGAGTATCCAACATTCTGTCTTCCTATAGCATCTTCTTTTGTCCAAGTATATGTGGTATGTGCTGGCAATATGTTATGTGTGGTGTGTGCTTTCCAGTTAAGTGTGTGATGTGTATGTGGTACGCTGTCTGTATGTAATGTGTTCAGGGAGGTGGCCACTTCATTTCAAAGAGGTAACTTCACAAGCTAGTGTACCCCTCCCTCCCCCCCTCACACACACACACACACACAAACGTACACACAGTCACCAAAGATGTCTGAGGTGACGTATGTTTTGTACTTATTTTATTTATTTTTTTGGACACTTCCATGGCAGACACAAAACTGAACACTAGAGAGAGAGAGGTTGATTGTAAAGCTGCCCTACAAAAAAAACTGATAGTATTCAGTTTTCTCAGTAGGAGGGTTTTAAAAGAGAGACCAATCAGGATGCACTCTGTGTCACTCTCTCACCATGTCTCACCTCGGTTTCTCCAGAGCCCGTCTACCTGGAATGACAGACATGACAGGGGCAGATCCAGAACCTGATCTCGGGAGGGACACTAGTATTGGGTTCTATTGGGGCTGTAATTGAGGAATAGGGGACAGTAGTGGGAGGAATAGGCTGTAATTGACAAGTTAGGAAATGTAGTAGGGGATAATGGCTATAGTGGGTGGGGGGGTTTGGGCAGAAGTAGGTGGATGACTGCAATTGGAATAAGGGGCAGTCGTGTGAGGGATTTGGGCTGCAATTGAGGGAGAGGGACTGTAGTGGGGGTATGGGGTGTGAAAGTTAGAGGCTGTAGTAGGTTGATAAGGGTAGTGGGAAAGAGGTTGTAGTGGGTTGTAGTGGGGGTGATAGAGGATGTAGTGGGAGGGATAAGGGTTGTAGTCAAAAGTGATAGGGGCTGTATTAGGGGAGTTTGGGCCTGCAATTGGAGGGAAGGGATTGTAGTGGGGTATAGAGGCTGCAATTGTGTGGATGAGACTGTAATGGGACATAGAGTCTGCAATTGAGGGATTATTTACTGTCTCACTAGTAATGCCACTGTCTGGAGTATCCACTCTGCTCGCTCTGTATGCGATGTGTGTATGGTATGTGCTGGCTGTGTAAATATTGAGAATAAAACATTTTAAAGAGCATGTAGTGTACCTTATCTGGTAATAATTCAATAAATGCTGGAAATATTAACAAAGGAGCTAAAAAAAATTTTTCATCATAAAACAAGTCACATGGGGGAAGAGGCCTGACCACCATGGAGAGAAGACGTGCTTTGGCAGAGCTTCTCCATAGCCTTGTGATGAATGCCAATAATAAGCCTACTACTGCTTGAACCAGGGCATACCAAGCAAAGCCCTCTAACCTCAGTTATGCTGCGAAGCGTTCAAGGACCCGTTGGGGGAATCCTGGCTCCACCGTCGCAGATGCAGCCTAGAGAGCGTCGGGCGGGAGTTGTAGCCGAACTCCTGGACCGGAGAAGCCCCAAGGCTGTCAGTCATGCACCAGTGCCCCATTACTCCCCCTGCCCTCTGGGCCAGCGGGGTGATCCCTGTCCACCTCAGGGGGACCACGCAGCTCAAGCAGGGAATCGACTGATGAAAGCAGCGCCTTACCCAACATTGCGAATACCGCGTGGTCCCCACACTCCAGTGATGATCGAGCTGGCATCATCTCCAGTGTTCTTTGTGAATAATTAAATTATTTATTCACAAATCTGTTGGTCTAAAATGTCAACCCAAATCAAGCTGGTCCAGCTCTTTGTTTACTAACAAATATATAGAAAAGAAAAGCATAAATGCATAATCACACCTTACTACTACATTACACATGTATATTCCTCTGAAGGACAAAAAAAAGGTTGTGGGTGTGTTACAAGAAAGCACACATAAGGCATACATAAGAATTATATGTGATCATGGAAAAATGTAAAGTGGAAAAATTCTTGAATTGACAATTATTAGACTAAAAAGTTAAATATTGTAATGTTTTCTATAATTCGGGATAAGTAGCATATACACTGATCAGACACAACATTAACACCACCTACCTATTTTCATGTAAGTCCCCCTCTTGCTGCCAAAACAGCTCCAATACATTGAGGCATGGACTCCACAGATCTCTGAACGTGTCCTGTGGTATCTGGTACCAAGACATTAGCATCAGATCTTATAAGTCCTGCAACTTGCAAGGTGAGGCCTCCATGGATCAGACTTGTTGCTCAAGCACTTGAACTCATTGGGATATTCATCAAACCATTCTTGAACAATTTATGTCAGTATGACATAGTGCACAATCCTGCTGAAGAGGCCCCTGCGATCAGGGATAACCATTGCCATGATTGGGTGTACAAGTTCTGCAACAATCTCTAGCTTGGTGGTATGGATCAAAGTAACATCCACATGAATGCCAGGACCCAAGGTTTATCAGCAGAACATTGTCCAGAGCATCACACTGCCTCCGCCAGCCTGCCTTCTTCCCAAATATCTTGCTGTTATCTCATCCCCAGGTAAATGACGCACATGCACCAGGCCATCCACCTAATCTAACAAAAACATGATTTATCTGACGAGACAAGCTTCTTCTGTTGCTCCATGGTCCAGGTCTGATGCTCACGTCCAATTAAAGATGTTTTTGACGGTATACAGAGATGACCATGGGCTCTCTGACCAGTTTGGGCTACGCAGCCTCATACGCAGTATACTGCGATGCACTGTTCTAACACCTTTCTATCACTGAAAGCATTACATTTTTCTGCAACATGTGTTCCACGTGTCTTTGCTCAAGCCTTTAGTGTGCAATGTTTTCATGAAGCCCACTTTTCGTCCTTCCCCTATCAGTGTCAATGGTCAGAATGAATATGAGGTCCAATACATTGTCGACTCCAGGTTTTCTAGCTTAAACATTAGTAACACACTGGAGGCTCCTGCAGGGTCTAGCAAGCCATTAACAGAGCAGGAGATAGGAAATTCAAAATTAAACATCATTTGCAATAAAGGAAGTATATACATTATATGACTCTTTACATGAAGGCTCTATAAGTCATATGCAGGGAGGAGTGACTAGGGCTGCATAAACGTTTTAACTCCTAAATGGCAGAGAATTGAGCAGTGAGACTTCAGGGGCATGATCGATATACTAAAACTGCTTAATTAAGCTAAAGTTGTTTTGATGACTATAGTGTCCTTTTAAATTCTGTATGTTGGGTGTTATATTGTCCTAAAATCCAATTGTCTAGCCATCAGTATTTGGACTTTGTCCAAGTCACTCAGATCTTTTGCTTGTCCATTTTTCCTGCTTCCAACACATGAAATCCAAGCACTGATTGTTACTGCCTTATATATCCCAACCCTTGAGAGGTGCCATTGTAATAATATAATCAATGTTATTCAAGTCACCTGTCAGTGTTTTGTGTTGTGACTAATTAGTATACAGAAGCAATGTAACAAACATATCTTAGAGTAAAAGTGCTTGGCTTACATACATGGCTTATAACAATAAAATTGCAACCTATAGACTATGGAGATAAAATCTTTTAGTTTCCTCTATTTGTAATAAAAATAAGTTTCACTTCACATTTAGAGCTTTAGAGCTTTAAATCCACTCACGGGATGATGGTAATCAGTGGATATGTGCAGCAGGCAATTCTTACATACAGCATACAGGGTATTTAACAGGACATGAGAGAATCTCACGAGAAAAGGTCAAAAAGCAAACCTCTATACATGGTCATAGTGACAACTCACAGGGGCCACCAGAAATATGCAGTGATGCATTTTGCTGCACCCCATTCACCCTCTCATTCCATTAATTGTGCAGCACTCACAAAGATATTATGAGTGTACTGCCCTGCTTCCAGGAAGCTGCATAGTGATGACTGCCATACTGACAGGACCCCTAACAGTGCCATGGATTCATTTAGGTGTTTACTCCAAACAAAAACAGTTTTTTGTTTTTATAAAACATTGTTTTTTGGTTGAGTAATTCTTCCTGGCATGCCCTTCTTTTAATATAAAGAAATAAAGCAAACGTATTGACATGTTGGTGTAGCATGTGTATGAAAGGGTCTTTTTGTGCATGTCTAAGGGCTGTGGCATGTTTGTATATATAGCTGTAGAGATTGAGTGTGCTTCTAGGGGCTGTAGAGTGAATATGTGTGTGTTGTTAGGGCTGTACTGTGTATATATGGGGGCTTTAGAATGTGTGTTTCTAGGGGTTATAGATTGTGAGTTTGTAGCTAGTGGTTACAGTGTTTGTATATGTGTATAGGAGTTTGCGTTTTGAGTGTGCATTTAGAGCTGTAGTATATGTATTTATTGGAGTTGTAGTGTTTTATGGGGTGCATTGTATATATGGTGTGTAGTTTATGTAATTAGAAGACATAGCGTATGTTTATAGGGGTACACTATATGTATAGGGTATAGGGGTATTGTGCATATATAATGGGTGTAGTGTATGTGTATAGGGCAGGCAGTTTATGTATAGGGAGTGCATTATTTGTATAGGGTGGTAAAGTATATGTGTGCAGGATATGCAGTGATATGTCTATCGTGGGGCAAACAAGGCATTTGCCTTGGGGGTATTTTGTAGGGGCGGCAAAAAAAGCCGCCCCCAAACGTCGAGGCAGATCCCTTGTTTGCCTCGTGTCCTGGGGTGCTCAAGAGGCGGGCGGCAGGCAGCATGCTCACCTGAGCTCTTTCTGCTCAGCTCTCTCGCGCGCCACTTAATGAAGCCGGGAGACGGAATAGGATGTCACTCTGGCTCCCGTCATCACTAAGCAGCGCATGAGAGAGCTGAGCAGGAAATCAGAGCTCCCTCGCTGCCTACTCTGCCTGCCCGCCCAGCAGCCCCACTGGACCGCAGGTAAGTAACCCACTCCAGCTCTCCCAGAGAGGCTGGGTGGATTTAAATTAAAATTTTAAAAATAATTTGTGAGTGTTGGTGGAAATGTATGTGTGTCTGTGAGTGAATGTGTGTGTCTAAGTGTGTGTGTCTGTGAGTGAATGTGTGTGTGTGTCTGTGAGTGAATGTGTGTGTCTAAGTGTGTGTGTGTCTGTGAGTGAATGTGTGTGTGTGCGCGTGTTTGTAAGAATCTATGTGTGTGTTTCTGTATGTGTGTGTCTAAGTGAATGTGTATGTCTGTAAGTGTGTGCGTCTGTGAGTGAATGTGTGTGTGTGTCTGTCAGTGAGTGTGTATGTGTCGGTCAGTGCATGCGTGCGTCTGTCAGTTCATGCGTGCGTCTGTCAGTTCATGCGTGCGTCTGTCAGTGAGTGCATGCGTCTGTCAGTGAGTGCGTCTGTAAGTGAGTGTTAGTCTGTCAGTGTGTGTCCGAGTAATAGTGTGTGTCTGTCTATCAGTGTGTCAAATCAGTGAGTGTGTGTGTATGTCATTGTATATGGGAGTGTGTGTCTGTCAATGTGTGTGAATCTGTGTGGAAGTGTCCTGCACCTGGAGGCACATTAGGCAAGCCACTGGGCCCTCTCTCAGTGTTGAACCCATGGTCTGTGACTGAGTGCCCAGTAGATCAGTCTGCCACTGCCTCTAGACATGCATCTGCATATAACCAATCACAACTTTGGATATGTGGGATGTTGCATATAAACAGAATATGTATGTGTGTTAACATAAAAATAATGAAACAATAGTGGTAACGCATATGAGTGTAAGCCCGTCTTGCTCCAGGATATAATACTTGCATGGTATTTTAATTTTGTTAAAATTACATCACAGGTGCATTGTCACCATATGGGCAGACGTTATTAACCCCCACATAAGTAACCCAATAAAATGCAGACACTAAAGGTATATGGGAAAAAAATCTTTTATTAATAAAATTAATCATCATAATAAATTATAGCATAACATTGAATAAAGTCATTGCCCCCAACCCTGCCATACCACATACATATCCCCAAACTTATAAAAGGCAATGACCCATATCCTTGAATATAAACATATAACAATATTTAACAACATGAAACATAGAAAAGTAAAGTGCCAATGTCTTAAATAACCATGGTAGATGTATACCCATGAATTTGTACCTTCACGGGTTTTGAGTTGGTAGGTTGTTCCCGTTCTGGGATAGTAAGCTGAATGTCAGGAAAACAGGTTCTTTTTGTTAGTTCATAAAGTTCAGTGTAGTTATTCAGCTGGTTAAGAAGTGGTTAATATGGTTCCTAGTATGTTTGGTAGGTTTTGAGTTTGCTGGTGGCTCAGAATCTGGTGGGTGTAGGGTTATATGGGTTCTATATACATAACAGAACGGGAACAACCCACCAACTCGAAACCCATGAAAGCACAAATTCAGCCAGGTAGGCAGATTAAAAATGACTATATCTAAAATGGCTGCCTATTTATATAGCTCAACCCCTTAACTATTAACCTTCCAATAACAGGAAGCCTGCATCCTAGTCCTATCAAAGCCCCTTTCCACTAAGCTGCATTTTTGTGACAAGGGACGACATTACAAGGATCTACTACACCGTAATAATGTACTTCTTTATTACATATATGAAAAGAACTTGAAACTATGTCTGTTTGCATACTCTAAGTCTGCGTTATTACATATCATGATAGAGTATTATTTCTTTTTTTATAATATGACTGTAGTTGAATGCTTTTTAGTATCGCATATTATTTAATTATTAATTTAACTACATATAATTTATTTTACCAATATGTACAATTAATTGGTGGATAGTTACATATAAAATATTATAAGTGAGTTTGCTCACTATGCTTTATCTGCTGGTATTTAACAGATTATGGTAATATGATGTACATTTTATAAAATATACAACGAAGTACAGATAAATACCAGCAAAATACTATATACATGTATACAAATAATATATAAATGTGTACATTTATATATTAAACTAACACACTTTTATTTTAATATATTAAACTAACACACTTCTGTCCTGTCACGTCTGTTCATAGTTAAGTCAAAGTCTTCTAGTACTTTTTATTTTATTTTTTTTAAGCTTGAGATGGCTCTTACTTTGATTAAAAATAACATCCCTATTCAATTCAGATTCTTACACTTTAATGTAATATATGATTAGTATCTTAATGCAGTAATCTCTTCGCTCACTTAATACCATATTTTAATGTGAAATCAGTTCTCAGCACATCTGTTAACAATTATTAATATCAAGAGGCAATCTGTCACATATATAACATTTCCCTTGATTCCATTACCTATGAGATGAATACTTAGCAAAAGACATTTAATGGGCTTACGGATAGCGGCTAATCAAATATGTATGTCATAGTTTACTGTTATATCTCGCAATTTCAATATATTTCAAAATGAATTCATGAAACAGACAATATGTGCTAAAATATTATCAATGATAATGTCAATTAAATAAAATTAAAAAAATCGGAAATAATGGAACCTAGAATGCCCATAAATGTACATAGCTTAGTAGTTCAAGCGAAATGATTTTGAGACAATGTTACATAGAATGGAGGTTGTCATCTCAGAACCCACCTGTTAAATAAATTTTTGAAGTTTAGAATATGGGTTTAGAGTGGCTGTTAAGTTCACCATCCACCATGTTCCATACATTAATGTAGCATATAAACGGGTGCATCAATGTAGGAATGTTTATCGTGGTCACGACTGTGATAAAAGTAAAAGATCTAACAGTCATCTGAAACCAAGCATGTATTACTATGATACAGTGCCATTAGTGCTGGATCCAAGGGTTGAGGCTCCTGGATGGAGGGAAACTTTCAACAAAAACAAAAAGAGAGATTGGTGTAATCAATCAAGAAAATTATTTTATTAATAGAATCTTGACTAGTGATGTCCCGAACGGTTCGCCACAAACGGTTCACCGCGGACTCATCATTGAGTAAACTTTGACCCTGTACCTCACAGTCAGCAGACACATTCCAGCCAATCAGCAGCAGACCCTCCCTCCCAGACACTCCCACCTCCTGGACAGCATCCATTTTGAAGCTGCATTCTTAGTGAGCTGTCAAGGAGGTGGGAGGGTCTGGGAGGGAGGGTCTGCTGCTGATTGGCTGGAATGTGTCTGCTGACTGTGATGTACAGGGTTAAAGTTTATTCAATGATGAGTCCGCGGTGAACCGTTCGCGGTGAACCGTTCGCGAACCGTTCGCGAACCGTTCGGGACATCACTAATCTTGACATTAAAATATAATAGGTTGGGTTGTGAGCCCAGGAAACTAGGCATAGTAATGAAACATGAAAATCCAAGTTCATACTAGAAGGATTCGGATTACTTAATTTATAAACAAACTTCCCTACATGGAAAGTATGGAATCGGGATCGGGGATTTCAAGAGTGAAAGAGTGTAGCAACTTTCATCATGAGTCTGCCTGCCCAGTAGGTGGGTATACTCACCTACTAGAGGGGCATGACAATCAGGCGCAAGCACACCATGCTGACAGATAGCCTTCCAGGCGATCCCTACCCTAAAGGACCATAAAGAGAGCAGGACAAGTCCAAAAACCTGGACTGTCCAATCAAAAGCAAGAAAGTTTGGGCCCTACGTTAAGGATATGGTAAATGTATAAATAAATAAATAAAAAGATGGGATTTCTAGCGCTTGTTCAAAATCTATGTGGCAGCTCGGCCTTCCTAAACCAGAGTCTCTTTCTTCTGGCCGTAGGAAGATATAGAAAGGGAATGCAGGGAAGCAGCGCCTTCACAAGTGTCTTCAACTCAAACAAAGATTGAACGATATGTAAAACAAGAGGACAAATAAAACTGAATAAGGTGTAGTATTTTTATGCTGGTGATATGCACTTACAGTCTTCTGAAGCTTGAAATGCACTTACAATTTTCTGGTGATATCTTCCCCATCCAGGAAACCAAAGTATAAATTCTCCAGGTGAAAATCTTCTGAGATAAAAACAGGAAGGTGCAAATTCGATAAAAAACGGTTTTATTTATAACCAAAATAATAAAACCAAAAGTATAGTAAAAAAAACAAAACAATAAAACACTTACGTGTTTCACATTCACACAGGCTTTTTCCCCCACAGTGTTCGAACACTTTCAAAAAGCCTGATGACACCTAAGCTATAAAGGATTGAGCATAACTACACTGGGCTTTTTGTTTGTGAGTAGAGTTGAGCGAAACCGAACCGCAAAGTTCGGGTTCGTACCGAACATTACGTTTTTTGGACCCCGGACCCGAACACGGACACATCACTGTATGTTCGGGTTGGAGTTCTGTGTTCGGCATTTTAATGGCGCATTTTGAAAGGCTGCAGGGCAGCCAATCAACAAACGTTTGACTTGTGTGCCCTTAAAGCCATCACAGCCATGCCTACCAATGGCATGGTTGTGATTGTCCAGTGCAGCATGTGGCCCAGCCTCTATATATAAGCTGGAGTTGCGTAGTGCAGCACACACATGAGCTCTTATTAGTGTAGGGAGAGGATGCTGCCGCTTTCAGGGACAAATTAGGAAATAATTCTGCAAACTAGTACATTAGTGGGGTGCACTTCATATCTGAGAGTCAAATAGAAGCGTCAAATACTGCGGTTACATCAGAGTTTTAAAAATTCTATTTTTTTGGGGTGCTAAAAAGTACATTAGTGGGGTGCACGTCATATCTGAGAGTCAAATAGAAGCGTCAAATATTGCGGTTACAGCGCAGTTGTAAAAATTCTAATTGTTTTGTGCTAAATAGTAAATTTGGGGCGTGCTCTTCATATCTGAGAGTTAAATAGAAGTGTCAAATAGTGTTGTTACAGCGCAATTGTAAACATTCTTATTTTCTGGGTGCTAATCTGCTAAATAGTAAATTTGGGGTGTGTTCTTCATATATGAGAGTCAAAAAGAACCGTCAAATAGTGCTGTGACATAGCATTTTTGAACATTCAAATTTTGGGCTGCTAAATAATACATTTGCGGCCTGCAGTACACTTCATATCTGAGAGTCAAATAGAAGCGTCAAATACTGAATTTACAGCGCACTTTGACAAATTCCCATTTTTTTTTGCTCCTAAGAAGTACATTTGGGGCGTACTCTTCATATCTGAGAGTCAAATAGAACCGTCAAATAGTACTGTGACATAGCAGTTTTAAACATTCAAATTTTTTGGCTGCTAAATAGTACATTTGCGGCCTGCGGTGCACTTCATATCTGAGAGTCAAATAGAACCGTCAAATACTGTGCTTTCAGCGCACTTTGAAAAATTCAATTGTTTTGGGTGAAACAAAGTAAATTTGGTGTGTGCACTTCATAACTGACAGTCAAATAGAACCTTCAAATACTGTGGTTACAGCGCAGTTTCACCAATTCAAATTTTTTTAGGGTTCTAAATAGTACATTTGCGGCCTACACTTCATATCTGACAATCAAATTGAATATAACAATATTGTAATTCGGGGGCAATACCCTCACAAGTCAAACTGAAAGGTCAGTTTAAAGGAAAAACTGTTGCCTGGATACAATTTTAAAACGATTTCCATATGTCCTTTGAAGACTTTACATGCTGGAAAAACACAGGTGCCAACTGCTGTGGCTTTCTGCAGTGTGCATACCGGCAAGGAGGGCAGTGTTGAGGAGTGGGTGGAAGATGATGTGGAGGTTGATGAGGTCCTAGACCCCACATGGAATCAAGGTCATGCGAGTGACGTGTGCAGTTTGGAGGAAGAGGCGCTGGTCGCACAGAGGCACCAGCACAGCATAAGAGGGAGTAGGGTGCAAAAGCGGAGTGGCCGTCCCCTAGTGCTCATTGGCATGTATTATCTTTGGAATTCCCAGTTATCCAAGTGACAGATGGCGCGATAAAAGGAACCATAACAGATTTAACAAACCATTCACAGTTTCGCAGTCCGGTGACCGGGACCCAATATGCCTGATGTTGAAGTTAGGAGTCACAGTGTGGAATGGATTAGCAGGGTCTGGTGCAGGGTAACCGCATGCCCCCTGGTGTTGAGCACCAGCGTTTGTGCGGCCACATACCAGACCCTGATGCAGCTTCAGTAAAAAGAGTACTGGATACCAGAAGCCATCACCAGACTGATCCGCAACTTGGAACAGGATGTGACATTCACTGTAGCGGCTGTGCACGATTTCGGCATTCTCACCCTGCTGCTGCTCGCCTGTCTGCGCTGCAGTATAACTTTGGCCTTCCCGCTCACCGCCTCATATGCGACGTGCCCACAAGGTGGAACTCCACCTTGCACATGCTGGAGAGACTGTGCGAGCAGCAGCAGGCGATAGTGGAGTTTGAGCTGCAGCAAGCACGGGTCAGTGGCTCTGCACCATACTTGCTCTCCAATTGATCAGAGTTAAAGGATTTCAAGTGGACTTGTTATAATTACATGGCCTCTAAAGAGTCCTGTATTGTTATTTGTCGTCACTACCTTCCCGCGTCGGGAGTGGGTCATTTGCGCGCCTGCCGCCTTCCTTACATGTGATAGCAGTTTCTCAGGGTCCCTGTACAGAATGGAACCCTGATTACCTGTGGTCACCATGGTAGGCGCAGAAACTGGCATCGAAAGTTGATATGGATGACATACGAATGAGTCGTCGCCTTGTCGTTGGGGAGCCCACTGAAAAAGTGCTCTAGCATGCCTAGCTGGGTGATCTCCTCCGGGAACTTGGCTTGATGGGAGTTGAGCCAGTTCTGGGTGGCCCTTGTGATGCGGCATGCCCACTCTGCATGGAAGTCCTTCTCCCCTTTCCGAGTCTCCCTAAACTTTTGGCGGTATTGTTTGGGGGTGACCACATACCGGGCCAGGAGGATTTGGGTAATAAAGGGATAGTCTCTGATCTGCTCTTCTGGTACAGCCCGGTAAATATCCGCCGCCTTCCCCACTAGTTTGCTGGCCAGGATGGTGACCCAGTCGTTGGGGTCATCATCTTGGAGTAGGCACTGGCGCTCAAAGTCTTGTAAAAAGTCATCAATTAGTACAGTACAATATACACACTACTCACGATAATAACTGTAGTGAAATGTATACAGATACTTAACTTAATTATTACAGCCTCCCAAGATCGTTACCCAGAAAAGACGACCTTTTAACATAGATAACCATAAGCAACACAGAACTTCGGGATACGGCTGGAAATTAATCTAAAAGGAACATGAAAAATATACACAAAATAGTGAAGTACAATTAACACATTGTTTTCCGCTGAATACAAATGCACTCACAGAATGAAGTAGAATATATCGCTCATAGGGTGCCTCCCCTAGTGGAATGGGGGGTTGGTAATCCCTTGGCTCCTTCTGGACTTCCTTAATAATGCTCAGGACTCCAAGCAGGTAATGGTAGAAAAAAGATGTATTTATTGATAAAAGGTGAATATTCACCATCAATGTAAAATATAAAAAGAAGAACGGTATGGTCCTACGCGTTTCGTTCTGTAAAGAACTTCATCAGGGACCGTATATAAGAAATAAAATCAATATACAATTACAGTATATAAAAAAACATCCTATTCCCCCCATCCCTGAGTCCTCTTTAAATAGGGCTAATCCCCATGTTCATTGGTTGTTCCGTGGGTGGTGTCCAGTATCTACTACTTGATTGGTCCTGAGAGGGAGCTTCTTCAGCTGTTTTCCATCCTCCCTGTGTTGCTGTAATCAATTTCGGCGCGTTCGAGCGACCGGAACCGGAAGTGGAAAATAAATCGCACTTCCGCGTTCCACTTGCGTTCCACATGCGTTCCACCCGCGGCTGAAATGCGTTCCACCTTCATTAAGTCTCAATGTAAATGTATAATCAGAAAAAAACAATAGAAAGCAATATATTCTATCTGCTGAAGAAAAAAACAATATTAATAACCTTATTCTCTACATTTTTTTATGTTAGTTGATTTAATCAGTCACCATTAGATTATTGTAATTAGACAGTGTCACACAGTATTTCTTAAAGTGAAAGGTGCACTAAAATTGCACAATTTATATAATATATATGATCCTATTGTCAACAAAACATTGTATTTCAAGTGTAACATACATAGTTAAACTATATGATATATATCAATATCCATTAATTATTAGTAAGTGGTTCGTGCCACAAAATTATTTTTTTTTAAATTTATCATAAATGTTTAAAAAAATAAATTTGAATTTAAAAAAAATAAAAAATACATTAAAAAAAACTAAATTTTATAGTGTTCCTATAGAAAATCTCCCATATTAAGTGGAGTTACACATATATCTAATGTCCCAAATGGTTGTATTTTTACCCATTAATTGACAAATGCATACAGGATAATGTTTTTATCAAAACCTGTGTGTCTCCAAGATACAAGAAGACCATACTCCCAAATATAATTAAATTCCTAAATATCGAAAAAATTCCAAAGTATATATAATATATATAATAAACAATTCAACCATATATTTACTTTTACATAACCCATATGGAAGACAGAAGGTTGTATTTTAATCAAAATCACCGTCATCCACAGAATAATAATGTATAAAGGAATGAATATATGTATAAATAAAAAAATCAATTTAAATTCTAATCCAAAAAACAAACTAAGTCGATACCAATATTGAGGCCCTTCGGTTCTAGGGTATTCAACCGATGTATCCAGAAAGTCTCCCTTTGGGATAGTTTTTGGATTCTATTACCCCCTCGCCAGAATGGAAAAACTCTTTCAATGCCCATAAAGATAAAATCCCGAAAAGTAAATAATGGACAATTAGAACAATGGGCCGAAACTGAATGAGTTTGAAGTTTCTTCTTGATATTATTCAGATGTTCAAGAATTCTGACCTTTAGAGTCCTCTTTGTACGTCCCACATATTGTTTGCCACAGGGGCACTGTAGTAGATAAACCACATAGTCCGAGTGGCAACCAATCTCAGATTTCACCTTGAATGTTTCCCCTGTGATGTTACTATGAAATAACTGTGTTTTAGACAATGATGTAGTAACACAGGCCTTGCAGATTCCACAGCCTCTAAAAAAACCAATAGTAGAAGAAGAATGAATATTAGGAGGTTTAATAGCGTAGCTAGGAGCCAGTAAGTTCTTAAGATTCTTATTCTTTTTATAGATCACCATAGGGCGATCCGATAAAGACTTTCCCAAAACTGGGTCCTGAAGCAAAATGGGCCAGAACTCCTGCAAACTTTTTTTGATTTTATAATGGTCAGTATTGTATTGAGTTATAAAAGATGATTTAAAGTTTTTGTTATTTTCATTTATACTGCCCTTATCTTCTAATAATGAACTACGCTGTACCGAGCTAATGGAACGGATTTCTTTATCCAAAGAATTTCTTTTATAACCTCTATCCATAAGCTTTTTCTTAATATATAGTGATTGGGTCTTAAAATCCTGAAGGTTAGAGCAATTACGTCTGACACGTGTAAACAGAATAGGATGTTTTTTTATATACTGTAATTGTATATTGATTTTATTTCTTATATACGGTCCCTGATGAAGTTCTTTACAGAACGAAACGCGTAGGACCATACCGTTCTTCTTTTTATATTTTACATTGATGGTGAATATTCACCTTTTATCAATAAATACATCTTTTTTCTACCATTACCTGCTTGGAGTCCTGAGCATTATTAAGGAAGTCCAGAAGGAGCCAAGGGATTACCAACCCCCCATTCCACTAGGGGAGGCACCCTATGAGCGATATATTCTACTTCATTCTGTGAGTGCATTTGTATTCAGCGGAAAACAATGTGTTAATTGTACTTCACTATTTTGTGTATATTTTTCATGTTCCTTTTAGATTAATTTCCAGCCGTATCCCGAAGTTCTGTGTTGCTTATGGTTATCTATGTTAAAAGGTCGTCTTTTCTGGGTAACGATCTTGGGAGGCTGTAATAATTAAGTTAAGTATTTGTATACATTTCACTACAGTTATTATCGTGAGTAGTGTGTATATTGTACTGTACTATTTGTTTTTTACCCAGTTTTTTTACACATATATCTATTTGACAAAGTATGGCTACTAATGCCAATTTTTTATCGAATTTACAAACTAATCGAAAAAAGAAGTTTGAGGCTATGTTTAAAGAGTGGGAGAAACCACAACCCTTTAAGGGGCTAGACGAATTTTTCAAAAAGAAAGAGAAATTGTTGGCTGCCGAGACTAAGAAGTGGTGGGAGGTAGCTTATTTGGAGAATTATCTCAAAGAAGGCCTTGTTCCTAGGGGTCTGAGGATAGATAAAACTCCAGCATTTGGACTGGAGGATGACCTTTTTTTACAAGAATGGGATGAAATTCTAATGAATTGTTCCTTTCAGTTAATTCAACTCATTATAAAATATTCAAAAGATACACAAAATAAACTAGAATCTGAGTTAATTGATTTGGATATAAATCCACCTTCTGGGTTTGAAAGTGAAGAATTTCAAGAGAGAGAAGAAATTCTCCAGAATAATATAAAAAAATTAGATGAAAAAATTGCAGAAACAAAAAATAAAAAATACAGTAGGGACAGGGAGGATAAATTGTTAGAAACTTTTTCAATGCGAAATAAAGTACGCAGAAGGAGACTACGTACTCCGTCATATAACAATAGGAAGAGAAATAGTTCACGACCTCCCCCTAATAGAATAAGAATAAATTCCCAATCTGGGGCGAGACAAAAAAACTTTCCCAGATCACAACATGATCGATTAAATGGTCATCAAGAGACATTTAATAGAGAACTGACTAATCCTCATCTATCTAGGAACAAGTCCCCTGAAAGGACACATAATTTAAGATCATATGCCCAAGCTACAAGGGATACAACAGAGACTCAGGGAAAGAATACACAGTATAATGACCGAGAAATAAATTTTCAGGGGAGACCACGGGGTCCAAAAGAAAAAACTATTACCAACTATTTCCGTCCAAGGATGGAAACTTGGGAACATACCAATCGATTTGCCCCCCTATATCAGAACTCACCCACGAAAAGAGTGAGAACAGAGGATTAGTTACATCATCCCAGGTTGTCTATCCTTTGGTACAAAGGGAAATAGATAGAGGTATTTTCAATTTAACCAATACCCCCCTGACAGATGATGAGATTAATTTACTGTCTAAAGGAATGAAGTTTGCCCCCAGTAAAACCTGTAATGATTTTAATCTCTTCATAGATTTAAAGAAATTTATTCGCTCATTAACTATTAAAAGACATTTTCTCTTAAACCCACCATCTTCGGATGACACCGTGAATGTTTCAACCACCCCTTCTAATTACAATTTTCAACGTAAATCAAATTTTTTTCCTATACAAAGCAAAGGCCCTTTTTTAGAGACATTTGAACATATGGTGAATCAAACTTTCCAGTTTTTTAATATAAGGGATAAGAAAAGATCCCAAGCCTCTAATTTTACTAAAAGAGAGGAAGAAACTTTAAAAAATTTAATGGATCGTGATGATCTAATAATTAGGGAGGCTGATAAGGGTGGTGGCATCGTTTTGATGACCACCTCCTATTATCTAGAAGAATCTGCTAATATATTGGGGGACAAAAATACTTACACCACTTTAGTTAATGACCCAACGTCACGTTTTAATATGGAACTTGGGATCCTCCTAGATCAGGCATTTAATAATGGGATTATTACTCAAAAAAATTTAGACTTTTTATTTCAAAAAAACCCTGTTATA